TTTTTGGGATTTACGATAACATCTGAGCAGGTTAGGTGCCTAACTGCCACTGAATGTTCATAGGATTTAGCCAACTGGCTCATTTAGGAGCACTGATAAATTCCAGTAGGTGCCTGTCATCATCTTTTAATCCTGGCCCACAGATAACACAGAAGCTGGGCTGGAATCAGGGAACCCTGCTGGAGATTGTACGCTCTGTGTTATGCTGGGGTCAGACTAGAGGATCAGAATGGCCCTTTTGGCTTTATCAGCTTTGTTTCTGTGCCCTTGCCTCTGGGTCTCTGCTTCTGAGCTGTGCAGGGCTCCAGGACATGAATCCTGCTAGCCCTTAGGAAAGAACATGTATAAATCACCTTCGCATAGCATCAGTCCTTTAATGCCAGTGCAGCTCGAAGCCAGCTACACACAGCTCGTCTGTAGAGAGCAAAAGGTTTGAGTCTAGTTCAATTACAGAATGAGGGGTGAAAGGATTCTCAGATACTTGTGCCATTAGCTTCTAGATTCTGGTATATAGATTGATATTGACCAAAAAATCCTCGTGCTGGATGACTGAATGTGTCTTCTGTTGGGGAAAAATCCACAAAGACTAGTACAGGAAGTTTGCTATTTCAATTAAATATGTTGGAGGGTTAGCATACAGGAGAAAATTAAGATGATAACTATGAATTACAATACGAACCCAAAATCCATCCCCCCTCTCCCGCCCCCCCCCGCAGTTTTTGGCAAATGATAGCTTTCTTCTGAAAACTATTTTTATCTCAAAACCAAAAAAGTTTCTTTTTTTATGTTTTCAGTTTCTTTACAAAACAATCCCAAAATGTTTGAGAAAAACAGAGAGATTCTGAGATTTGTTGTTGTTTAGCTAATGTCCATTACAAATAACACAGCTGAAAATTTCCAACCAGCCTTAAACTTTAAATGAATTAGGGAACATTAATATTGCCTGATAAGAGCTTGATTTCAAACCCATTTATTCTATTGCATCTGTGTGATTTCTCTTTCAAAGGGATAGTTGTGAGGAGGTAACAACTGAATAAACAGTAAAGTTGGACACGCACAGACTATTTTATACAGACTAGTCTCTTTAAACCCCAGTTTTGAGTTGAACCAAGCAGCCAAAGCCTGTTTATCCTGACCTCGTTCAAGGACAGACGGGACTCACAGGGAGTAGAACCCAGACCTCCTGGCCTAGTTCCACACTGCTGCCGGCTGAGTATAAGCGATGTAAATGGGTGTGCAGAATATAAACAGAGTAAGACACAGGGCTACATTTCCAAAGGTATTTAGGTGCCTAGTGGGATTTTCATAAGCATCTAGGAGCCTATAACTGATTGATTTCAAGGGCTGATGGGGCCCTGATGCTTTTGATAATCCCACTAGGTGCTTCAATACCTTTAAAAATCTGCCACACAGCCCTGCTCATAAAGCCCTTACAGTCCTAGTAGACATGGCAGACAAAGGGAGTGGGGGGGTGTGGAGGCAGAAAGAGGGGAAATGGCTGGTCCAAGGTCACAGAGCAGGTCACTGGCAGAGACAAGAACAGAGCTCAGGTGTCCTGACAGACACTGCACTGAACAGCACAGACTAAACGATACAACATAGCTGTGATGGAGGGATGCTGCTAGTCCATTGTTACATGCAGACTGAAGTGCAGCTGGGATTTGGTGCCATAAATCAATTTGGAAGCAGGCAGCCGGCTGTCTAGGCACAGAGCTTGGGGTAGAAAAATTACAGATGAGCTGCTACTTACGAGCTGCTGGGTGAGCCTATGTCATATTGCCTGCAAAGTGGGAATCAGGCTGTGTTAGCAGTTTAGTTTATCAGTTTGTGAGCTTGGTGATGGTCGCAATGGAGGGACCTTCTTTGCAAGAGTTGCTGGATTTGGAGTGTGCTTTTTCCATCCTTCATACTACATTTTATCAAGCCACACCATGGGCAAAATCCTCAGATGGGATAAAGTGATGAAGCTCCATTGACTTTAAAGGAGCTGACCCAATTTACACAAGTGTGATGTGACTGTCAGAGGCGAGGAGGACTAACAACACCTACTCATTGTAAGTGACGAGTGCTGTGCACCTTTGACATTCATATAATGAGGTATTAGGGAAAGGGGAATCAGGGCCATTCCTTCTGTCACTCTAATCCTGACCATTATCTTTCTCCTTCCTTCCACAGCCATCACATGATGTACTGAGGAAGAAAATGTCCAACCAAACTGCCGTGACTGAATTCCTTCTCCTGGGATTCTCTGATGTTCAGGAGCTGCAGATTTTACACTTTGTGGTGTTTCTAGTGCTTTACCTGATATCCCTGCTGGGGAACATTCTCATCATCACAGCCATAGCCCTCAACCACCATCTTCACACCCCCATGTACTTCTTCCTGATGAATCTGTCCGTCCTAGACCTCTGCTCCATCTCTGTCACCATCCCCAAATCCATGGCCAACTCCCTCACGAACACCAGATCGATTTCGTATTCTGGTTGCGTCGCTCAAATATTTCTCGTCATCTTCTTTGCTACAGCAGATTTTGCCATACTGACCGTCATGGCATACGACCGATACGTTGCCATCTGCCAGCCATTGCACTATGAGACAGTGATGAACAGGAGAGCTTGTGTCCAAATGGCAGCCAGTGCCTGGATCAGTGGTATTCTCTACTCTGCACTGCACACCAGGAACACGTTTGCAATATCCTTCTGTGGAGGCAACATGGTGGATCAGTTCTTCTGTGAAATCCCCCAGCTCCTCATCTTTAGTTTGTGCTTAGCCTCAAGCTGCTTTGTTTTCATAATTGTGTCATATGTTCAGATCTTCAAAGCAGTGCTGAGAATCTCCTCTGAGCAGGGCCGGCATAAAGCCTTCTCCACCTGCCTCCCTCACCTGTTTGTGGTCTCCTTGTTCCTTTGTACTGCTGCCTTTGCCTACCTGAAACCCACCTCCAGCTCAACCTCAGATCTGAATCTCATGGTGGCTGTTCTCTATTCTGTGTTGCCACCAATGATGAATCCAATCATCTACAGCATGAGAAACAAAGAGCTCAAAGGTGCACTAAGTAAATGGATAGGTTGGAGATTATTCACTGAGAACAAAATGTCCATATTTCTCCCTCGGTAGCAATTTCATTGTATATTTCTTTATAGATATAATCATCTGATGACATTATTGCCTCCATGAGAAAATACAATGTAATCTGTTTATGTTGAAATAGGTATTTACACTAGTAAAAATACAGATAAACATGACTCAAGAAAAAAAGGAGTTTCTATATATGTTTACACCAATGTAAATAAGATCGGAATCTATCTATCATATTTGCTACCAATCACCATACTATCTGAGACCATTGCCTATAAAATCAGTAGCCATATCAAAGTCCCTAGTGAGGTCTCCGGCTCCTCTTATATTTTGGGATAAAAACTCAGATTGAGTTATCAATGCATTTGTTCTTTGTGTTTTTTGTTTTTTTGTCAGATTTTAGCTTATTTTTGCTTAACTGATTGGTTGGTGGTTTGGTTTTTTTCTTTGTTTTAGGAGGTTTTGGAGGTGGAAAGGCCTGAGGAGATGGTGAGTGTTTAGTGAGACAGGATTTTCAATGGTTGTCCTGTCTTGGGACTGTCCATATGTCATCTCTTTGATGGGGTTTTCTGAGTGAACTGAAGGTTTGCTCTCCACAATTATAAAAGAGTGCAAAAGAAGTTTCTGCATGGCTTAGTTCCTACTGAAATGATTATGTGTATACTTGTGGGATTTGATTGTATTATTAATGATATCTTAGGCATCTTTTTATTATTTTAACCTAAATGAATATGTAAAAACTGGGTCATTCTTGCTATGGTGGAAAGGCTGTGTTGGAGCGAACAAAGTTTTAACTTTTTGGCTGGGTGGAGCAAAGTTAGATGTTTTATTTTTAAGCAATTGCATAGAGGGAGAGAGTGCACTAGGACACAGGGGTTTCCCCTTCTAGGCAGGTCTTTTAAAAGATAAACAATTGCAGCAAGCATTTATATCTTTTGTTACATACAATAATGGGCAACAGCTGCATTCTGTTTATACATAGGTTATTTTGATATTTTATTTTTTACATTTTTTAGACTTTAGTTTACATTTTATACTTATTTACACAAGGTTGCAACAACTTTTTACACAGTTTTTTTTTATTTGCCTTACACAATTTTTGCTTTTACAAATTTTGCATTACTAGGCTAAGAGCTAGCCTGACTTTTGCTTACAGAAGAAACTGTTTGCTTCTTTTCCTGTTAATGATTGTCTATGTCCAGATCATGATTTTCTCTAAGTACTCCTTATTAAACCTTATTTAGCAAATATTTTTATGACCATATCTTACTCCATTGTTAAGCATGAGATTAAGTCCCTGTTGAATGTGGGTTAGAGTTATGGATAGGACTTAATGCTTACACCAAACTGGTGCCAGACTCTGACACTGTCTCCATTTCTCTCCTTTCCCAGTCAAATAAGCCCTGTAATTGGTGCATTGGAATTACTCTCCCCTTCTGGCTTCTTTCCATAATTAGAATTCTGGCACCTGACTCATCAGTGACTTTAGGCACCACACTGATGAATGGAGTAGAGAGAGAGATCAACATTGACAAGGACTTGCACAGAGAAAGGATGCAGTGCCACTGTCCATGTCATCAATGTTAGGGGTATTCTGACGTGAGGCTCTCACAGTCACTCCAGCTAAAGCTGTTCCACTCTGGATACATAATTAAAGAGTTATTGGAGCAGTTGGACTGGACACTGGGTCTCCCAGGTGAGTGCTAAGACCACCAGGCTACAGGGTAATTCTCATGTTCTCTCTCTCCCTCTCTGACCCAACGATTCTTTAATTATTTAATCCAAAGTGGAACAGTTTGAACGGGCAAGGTTGAGGGCGCCCCACATTGGAAGATCCCACAGCCCAGTGGGTTGGACACTCAGCCAAGAGGTGATAGATCCCCTTCAAATCCCTTCTCCTCCTCGGGCAGAGGGGGGACTTGAACTGGGGTTGTTCCCCATGCCAGGTAAGTAGCCTAACCACTGGGCTAAAAGTTAAACAGGAGGGCCTTCTCCTTGTTACAGAAAACACCATAGGTGCCTGACTCAAGGAGTTATGGATCACAAACAGGGATAGGTACCACCCACCAGCTCGACGTAGGCAACAATCTTTGTGAGGGGGAGGGGCTTAGCACCCACCCATCCTGTCGTCATCTCCCATTGGTTAGGTTAGGCGCCTCCACACCGCATGCTGGCAACTGTGGATCCCATTAGGTGTTTACCTCTCCCCATTCACTGAACAGGGAGCCTGCGCTCTGAACACCGGCTTTGTGAATCATGGTGATTTTCTAAGTGCCTAAAAGTTAGTGCTGCAATGGTCAGTGTTAGGATACCTAAGGGCAAGATTTTTAAAGGCATTTAGGTGTCCTGGTGGGATTTTCAAAAGCATTTAGGTACCTAAATCCAATTGAAATCAAAGGGTGTTTTGAAAGTCCCGCTAGATGCTTAAATAAAAACTCAGGTCCTAATTCCTTCTGTGAATCTAGCCCTGAGTGTCTGATATCCCCTTAAAGGCTTTAACAATATCATCCAGAAGACTGGAGACAGATCCAAAACCACTATTTTGAGCCCTTCCTGACACTGAAGGACTTTGTAAACTGCAGCCATATCCAGAAATGGGTTCTACAGATGGCTCTCTCTCTTTAACATGAGCCGAACACAGACCCCAGGACCAAACACTCATGAGTTTGAGGTTTTAAAATATAGGGCTGCTCCCATCTCAGCTGGGACCATCTCACCTTTAGATCATGCAGAACAATCTGGTCCCAGCAGGGTATAAGTGAAAGGCTGTTATTCATTGGATATCTGACAGTCAGTGGTATCTGAGCAGCTTTGAAAATGAGGCCACTTTAAAAATGCCAGCTGAGGGCTTTGTCAAGTGGAAAATTATCTATTGTCAGATTTTACAAATGGCCCCTCTCTTCATCCTTGGCCAAACAGAAACATCCATCCGTGAGCTTTGCAGTGTTCAACATCTAGCCTTGCATTCATCGCTGCCTAGAGGTGCACAGGGACCATTCCCCTGCTAGGCCGCTAGTGACTATGTTGGCATAAGCATCAAAGTTTGTGCCTTGTGATGGCTTCATGGTGGCCTTAAGAAATGGATTGGGGATCTTTGTGCAGTTCCTGGAAGATGTGTCCCCACCACACAAACGTCAACATCACTGGAAATATATTTGCATCCTTGTTCTCCATTACTATAGAGAGGTCCAGGAGTATGCAGAAAGGAATCCTTTGTCATATATAGCAAAGGTCCCTCCAGGGCAGGGTAGAAGCATACTTCCAGGGAGTGGTGAGTGGGGGAAGATCGCACAGCTGCCACCTGGGCTTCTAAATGTACTACTGAAAAATGTCAGACTTCAGAACTTTGGGTTAATCATCTGTCCGCTTAGGCTTCGGGTTGTGCAAAGAAAATGAGGATACAAGGGGACAAAACAGAAATCTCTGTATATTAAGTCTGGCATATTCAAAGGGGTCTAAGGACATTAGTTGCCTAACTCCCATTGTGCAGTCAATGGGAGCTGGGCATGTAATTCCCTGAAGTCACTCTGAAAATCACTGTCACAGCTCATGGCCTGTAGTAAAAGTTCGCTGTATGGTTACAGATTCTGCAGCACCCACAGCCCCTTGTGTCTGCTCTAATTGCACAGGAAGCTGCAGAATCAGTCACTGGTTCCTCCAGAGGGCTTCTACTGCCTCCCACATGCTGAATTGCTGCAGCAGAAGAAAAGTTTCCTAGGAGTGTCTGTGATGGGGACAGGGACATGAGTCTCCTTATCCTTGTCAGGTTGCAGACTGGATTCCCTTTGGAAGGAACCAAGGAACTGCAGAGGCCATACCCAGCTACCAGAGAAATCATTAATTTGGGGGGAATAGACCTTTGGTCTGTCAGCTCCAACCCCCTCCCCCCAACACGCACACTCCTCTAGTCACTGAGGTGGAAGATGTCTCTGCTGGAAGCAATACAGGGTCCCCTATCATCTCTGTGCACTGCACAGTAGAGTGGGCCCTGCTCACCGACATTAGAGATCCATTTCCAGCCCATCATGGCCCCTGCTATTAATTGTCCTCCAGAAAGAGCCACTGGAGGCTTTGGTCCCTACGCATCTGCCACCTTTTAATAAAGGGGCTTCCGTGAGCCATGGGACGCTGAAAGCCTCCTGGGGAATGAACTGCCTTGGCTACAGCAGATCTTGCCCTCCCTTTGAGGCACTAGACGGTGAGGCCATTTTATCTCCAGGGCTTGGAGGCTGGTCTGGACAATCTGCTAAAGCCTAGTGTCCTGTTGGTTTTAGGTCTTTGGAAAATTTTTCTCAGAGGGGCAGAGAAGACACTTCCTCCGGACGGCAATGCTGGCCATCCACGACCCCCTGCTGCGTGTCAGCCAGGCTGGGCTGCTCCTCACATACTCCCTCCTGGGGGAAGCCCAGCAGCTGATGGGGGACAAGGTAAGCAGCTGCATTAGACTCAGGATATTGGTGGCGGGGCCCAGGCCTCATTCCCATTTTATAACAATTCGCTGGCCTGGGAGCAAGGAACCTAGTGGGGACTTCATGGACATCTGTTCTTAGTATGTGATGCTCTGCTTTCACTCCTGGGAAGGGCAGGAGAGTCCCCTAAGTGCCCTCTGTGAACCTTTCCTGCCCCACAGAGCTGCACCCATTTCCCCGTGGCCTAGTGTCCATGTCACCTGAGCCACCACCCAGAGTTGCTCCCATCACTTGCAGCCTGGGAGGCCAAGGACTGATGGGTGATGGCGACTGGCCAGGGAGTTCTGAGGCACATGGGTGGGGGAAGCTTGTCCCGCTGTTGGCAGGGCTGGACCCGCTCTAGAGAGAATGGCAGGATTCAGTCAGCAGGGGTTGCTGACCTGCCCCGTTCACCAGGGCTGCCATCCTGTGACTTCAGCATTTGTCACTGGGATGACTTGGGGAAAGGTCTCAACCTCCCCCCATCCCGCTTCCCTGCTGCCAGAATCCGTCCTGCCCCCCTCCCTGCCCTACCTGGGTGGGGATGGAGGTAGGGGTGGAGGAGAGGGCTCTATGAACTTGAGCGGTGTCCCCAGATGGGTTGGAGGTGGAACAGCTGTCAGGGGCACTCAGGGGGAGGTGGCAGGAGCTAACCCTACAAGGAGGGGGGCTGGCACAGGAGGTCACTAGAGAGGACAATAAGCCTCCATCCTGGGGATCAGGAGGGTGAATCCACAACTCAAACATAAGCAGCTGCTGGGTGGAAACGGTGCAGGTTCCAGGTGTCCTTAATCTTCCCTGATTCCTGGGCAGTGCCTCAGTCTCTGACATGTTCTCGTTCCCCTGCAGCAGGAGGATGTCGCAGCCAAGGTGATGTGCCAGCTCCGCATCATCCGGCACTTGCACCAGGTGCCCGAGGCACTGCAAGGGCTGCACCTCATCTGATGCCCTTAAAGGTTCCCCTTCCCATGTTCAGCAACTCCCGCTCCCTGCTGCAGGTACCGCTCTGTCTCACTGTAAATGGGGGGCTAGTGGAAGGGGAAATGGAAGCCCCTGTCACTGACAGAAACTCTCTCCCCTCTCTGTGGACCAGGCTCCTTCCCTCTGACCCCAAACTTCCTTCATCTGGGGCATGAGCTCTTCCCCTCACTCCCATACCCCTCCCTTCTTTCCTTGCTCTGACCCCCATCCCACTCCCCGTGCTCCCAGGCAGAGATCTCCCTGCCCCATATGGCACAGAAGGACCTTTGTGTCAGGGCTACAGACTGTCTGCCCAACTGAAGCTCGGGAAGCTCCACATTTGAGGAGGGGAGGATGGGACAGAGGCTCAGGGCCTGGTTCACCGCCTGCCCTTTAGTCTTCCTTTGGCCCTTCTATGGGCTCTCAGAGGGTGACATGAATAGGAACCTCCTCCCCACCTGTCTTGTAGGCCCTGGGCTGTGTGACAGTCTTCCAGATGGGTGCAGTCAGAAGCTGAGCCACCTCAGGGAGCAGTGGGGACAGGTCATCTTGTCCTATGAAACCAAGCAGTGCTAGTTCTCCAAGAGGCTGAGAGGGAAGGTAAGAGCCATTTACTTCTTTGGGCATATGGGTCTCCTGGGGGAGAAATGGGATCCCTGCTGCATAGCCTGGTTGGGAGCTTCCCCCATCCCTGGGGCAGAGACATCTCCATCAATGTGCCATTCTTGTTTTTTTTCCTAGCAAGAGGCTCCCCAGAGATGTCCTCAAACCTGTTCTCCTGCGAGCGTTTCTGAGAGGAGGCTCCCATCCCTCAGTCTCCAACTCCATCATGCAGTCTCATTTACATAACATCTCCACTCTCCAGCTCCACTTCCCACAGCAGGATAAACGAACCTTCAGCTCCTAGAGACCTGACTCTGACCTCCTTCTGATCAGCAATGGGGTTTCACCATCCCCTCAACAAACCTGTCAGCCTCTGAATGATGAATGTCGGAGTCACCAAAACCAGCAAAACTCAAACTGCAGCCAGTCGAGCCTTTGTGAACTTAGCCCCTCTGGAAACCAGGTCTGAACTGGAGAGTTCTGAACTTATGGACACATAGACTTTAAGGTCAGAGGGGACCATTTATGATCATCTAGTCTGATCTCCAGCACAATACAGGCCACAGAATCTCACTCACCCACTCTTGTAATACATCCCTAAACTATGTCTGAACTACTGAAGTTCTCAAATCATGGTTTAAAGACTTTAAGGTGCAGAAAATCCTCCAGCAAGTGAACCGTGCCCTATACTGCAGAGGAAGGTGAAGCCCCACGCCAGGGACGCTGCCAATCTGCCCTGGAGGAAAATTTCTTCCCGAGCCCAAATATGGTGATCAGCTAAACCCTGAGCATGTGGGCAAGACTCACCTCAGCCCAATAAGAGCAGGACTGGGCACAGCGGGTCTGTAACAGGGAAAGGAGAGTGCTTTCCCCTGGACTGCAGAGCCTGGAGCTCAGCCAAACTGATTACAGAATGAATCCTACCTAAGAGGGACCATGTATTGGCCCCGAAAGAACCAGACTTCAGCGGTGATAAAGCCCAGCTGGGCTATGAACTGGAATGAGAACTAGGTAGGAAGTTGAAAGCAGCAAGGAAAGCCTAGAAGGGAACTTGAGAAGAAAGGTAGGATGTGCCCAGGGAAACCTGCAGCAAGGAGAAAAGAGCAGACCTAGCTGTTGAGTACAGAGCCCTGGGATGCTACCAATGTAAGGGTGGGACCGGGTTCCTCTACTGGCCCCAAAGAAGGGGGCATACACGCACCCGAGAGGGGTACCAAGCCCAGCAAGGGAGCTGCAGGCTGAGCCAGAGCCTCAGCAAGAGCAGAACATTTTTTTTCTGGGAAGACCTCTTTGTGACAAGCTGAGCCCCAAAAGCATTGACTAAAGGTGGTGAGCCGGCCAGAGGTCCGAATTACCAGGCAGAGAGACTGCCATGGTGCTGGAGTGACCATCGATGGAGGACCAGAAGGCACCTAACAATGAGTAGATTCATTGATTATTGGCATAGTCAGCACGATTGAATTCCCCCTGTCATCCGTGAGGGCTCATGGAAGTCTTGGTTCCTGAAGGAAGGTCTGTCCCCGCAAGTGGGATTTCCCATTTGAGTTCCAGGGACTGGTTAAGCAGCCAAAGCAGGAATCGGGGTTTCTCCAGCAGCTCCTAGAAACCCAACAGAAGCAGAAGGAAGTGCAGGCAGAGCTACAGATGCAGCTGGTAATCTTGAGGGAGCAGCAGCAATACCTATGAGAGATCCTTCAAAGGGAAATCAACCTGCTATGCCCATGGACAAAAAGAGGCGACTCGGAGAGCATGCCGGGGCTGTGCTGAGAAGGTTAGCCCAGGAGAGCAGGGCATGAGAAAGTCTACAAGCATAGCCTAATGCCAAGATGGGAACAAAAGTTATTTGGTTTTGGTGCAGAGAAGCAGGCCTGCATAGGAAATTGCTGAGTGGCAAAAGGAGGGGCCAGAGCCCCAAGAAGGTAGAAAGAAAGAAGAAGGTGTCCTCTTGGGCAAACACACATGAGGCAGGCTAGGTAGAGATGGCAGGGATGGCCGTGGACCTTGGAGACCCTCCTCCAACACCCCCTGTCGGGTGCTGCAGGGAGGTGAAGGAGGAAATGGTTGGCACAGAGATGAATCAGGCACAAGAGCTAAGTAGTGGTGTGTGCTCAGAACCTGATGGAAAAGGTTTTGAGGGATGCAGCAGCAGTAGAAAAAAGGCTACAGAAGAAGCTAGTGGCTTCAGAACAAGGCTCTGCAAGCAG